CGACCCTGGTTTCCAGTGCACGTTACCTATGCTGACCTCATTGACGGAGTGACCAACCTCGACCTGGTCGACGCTGTTTCAAAGTGGCCAGAAGTCGTGCCCATTGTCCCGCCTACAACCAGTGCATTGAGAGCCAAACGTCCAGCTAACGTGGCTTGCCGAAGACCATAGTTTCGGACAACGGATCACAGTTCACATTCGGTTTCCTCCGAGCATTCTTCCGGAGAAACCCACTCGCGCACGACTGTTCGCCACCGTACCACCCGCGAGTCATGTTGATACTTTCGGCTGCTCTAATCTCAGGGAAAGAGGACATATGGTGATGTTCTGCAAAGATTTCTGCCAGACTACTGCACCATTCCAAATAACTCGGTGGATGATTATAAATCAACTGCTAAACCCTTGTGAGCTGGAATATTTGAGCACCGATTCTACTGTCTCACACAGACGCAACTTTCCAAGTCAATAGTGACTGTCACAGAGACCCACTTTGATGTGGATGCCCCGATTTTCGCGGGAGACGAAAGTGTGATCCCTGGATCGGGGACCACGTCCTAGGACGTTTCTGTTAACCGAGATACCTGGCCCAACACGATATTCGACTCTGTTCACGCCATCTCTCGAGACCACCAGCGTGCTCTAACAACATCCCTCCTGTCATTCTTTCCGACATCTTCAAAATGCTGCTAGTTGCGGCCGACGTGACACAAGTAGAGATGGTATCCATATCATCTCCCAAGTAGATGGACCGACGGCCGCTTGCAGAAAACAACCCTGTTCCAAAATGACCCACGTAGGGCCCGCTATTGACTTGCCCCGAAGGATGGTGGTACCTTTTAACTGTTGGTTTCTTGTCAGTCCAAGTTCTAATTTTCCGTGCATTCTTCTGTCGTCTTGGTTATTTCTTGACGAGTCTGCGTTTCTTATCAAGTGACCAGCAACACTGTATGTGCTAATGCATTTCTTGTTCTTCGAGAAGACGGTCTCGCTGGGAATCGCCTTTGTATAAGGCAGTTAAAGTTCTCTTCCGAAAGTCTCATCTTTCTTCTACGCTAGAAGATGTTAGCTCGGGCCACGGCTGGAGATTTTCAGGCTTAATCTCACGGAGAAACGCAGTTTATTTGGCTTGAGTGATAGTGCATTTAAATACACCACATACCACGAAATGCAGCCACCCAAACATATTAAATGACGCTAAACAGAAAATCTCCTTCTACAGTTAACCCATGCTCGCTTAGAACTGTTAGTGCTATTTGTTGGTCGTTTTGTGAAAACGGTATCCGTTGTACGACATGTTAGGGAGAATCAGCAGCATTTAAGCTTGCTGAGGATAACGCTGGAAGACTTGGACCCTAGGCAATCCTTGGACACTTTGCAGGGATAGTACAACCCGATGGAGCCGCTTACCATGACTAGCCGTGTTTAAATGAGCCTATTTGGAATAGTCGACTTTAAGTTTGATCCAATCGGTCGACATCAGTCCAGTGACTCCCAATCTGTGTGCCAAAACCGCTGATTTTTTAAACCTGACTTGACAGGTCATCAACTGACCAATCAAGAAAGAACGCTATCGTCACGCAACTGTGATTCATATATTCGTTTGTCAGGATTCTTAGAATCTCACTGGAAAGATAAAAATCTTAAGTCACCATCCGCACCACGTAAGTCGTTGATTTTCATTTGTGTTGATGAGCCACAGGCTGGCAAATTGTGATAAAGGGGACACCGATTTCTACATTTGAGGCGTCTCATTCCTCCCCGGCTTAGAATCATGACAACGTTTGATAGAGGACCAGCTACTGCTAATTGTTCAGGCTATTCAGGTGGCGGTTCACTTGTTAGCTGAGCTCGGCAATTTTGTTGCAAACGCTTCTAGAACAATCGTGGTGTCCCCATCAATGCGGAGTAGTGCATTGGAGATGAAAGTTCTATCGCAAAATTAGCTAGGCGATCGGGCGATTGGATTCTAAGGTTGGCACTTGGTAAGCGTACTAGGTAAACTTAAAAACGCCCACGAAGAATCGGTGGTTCATAAAATGCGTGGCCATTTGAAAGCGGTCGAAGCTTAACTCCATTTATCCCAAAGTTTATCAAAGACGATAATGTGTTTGATTTAGCGGGATAATTGTACGAGTTGTACCGAAGTGACTGGAAGTAGGCTCACGGATTACTATGTAATTGTAGTCTTTAAACACTGTCTCACATAATAAGTCTTCAACTAATACTATTTAAATAACAGTAATATGGCAATACTACAGATAATAAAACAATGAAGAGAAATTTCTGCTAGGTTCAACGAAACACGTTTTAGTTGATTTTCAAATTTTATGTGCAGAGTTCCCCTACCGGGATAATTTTTTTCAAAAGAGCATTTACAGGTATTATTTTCCAAAATATCGTGAGGCATGACGGATGCCTACCTCATACCTTCTCAAAGCGCAACACATGAGGACGCATAGAAAAAGTAAGAAGCGAAAAAACTGAGCAACGCAGTTTATACAGCAATGCTTTGATGCTTAAGAACGCGTCGATTTGATTTCTTCTCTACATATGCAAATGAGGACTTTCATGCTTCAAACTTAAACAGGTCCGGACAGCACGGGACGTATATAAGGTGCTTTATGAGGAAACATGCTTACTCAAAAACTGAAAAAGTCAGCCAATGCTTAAAAAATACGTATTGTTGTTACATAATTTCCTATACAAAACGCGACCTACGGTCCTAGAAATCGGTTTCGCCCTTCCTGCGAATAATGGCAGGTCTAAACCTAGTCACTTCTTATGTTATTACGCTATGGAGGAGTACGAGAAATAAGTAAAGCGGACGACCGTGTTGAGGTTCCCGATACGGAACTTTGAGTGACGCGTAGGTTCGACAATCCCGAATATCAAAAGGAAGGATTGGGTTCGTGATTCTACGGTACTATTTACACAAGGGTAAGCAAATTTCTACAACAAACCTCAGTTGTTCACGTTGTTAGCGTCAACAAGTTCACAGGTCTGTCACTGACCGGTGCAGTGTCAACGTCCGCACACCAAACAACGGCGAGCGGAATGACCGCTCAGTGCGTGGGTTGCGGTCGATCCTTCCGACGACGGTCTCGTGATTCTCATTGGACGTGCGATAACACGGACCTCATGAGAAAACAAGTCAAGGCAGGCTCAGCAAACGGGACATGAACGCATGTGGGTAAGCAGGTCAGCAGCGCACATTCACACACAGACAGACAAGTGTCGGAAAGGACGGCCTCTGTGGCAAGGTGAGTGGCGATTAAGAATAAGCAAAACAACTGGAGATCAAAAGTACATAGGCGGAGTAAGCAAATGAGTGGGGGAAATATCATAAGGTCAAGTTAGATTTAACAGACCGTTTTCAGTTCATATGGGGTCTGACACCATCTTGAGATCATCCTACTGAGCGCAGTGTGCACACAACTGTACTGCGTCATTGCAGCGGACGTTTTCCCCAGTGTTGAGCTCATTTCCGGAAGACGGAGGATGGAGCAGTAATAAACGTGGCCCCATTAGGGCCACACAATGTTCAAACATCGGCTGAATTAGAACAGAGTTGTGGGGAATGTATATGCCAGTATCATATTTTGTACTCGTACATTTACTTTCATGGGGCTTTCGTTGTGCCACTTGTTCTCCAACACATAATTCCTACTACTAAATATACGGGAATCGCCAACGTTCATTGAACGTAACCACTGTTTAGGGTTTTTGTCGCTAAGCCTGTTCATTCTTCAAGAAAGCCCGAAAGATGTGAGTTTAGTTACGCAGTGGCATTGCCATCAACTCATTATTTTGTCATCATTATTCAGGCGAACCGGGTAGGGTGCGTACTAGGAAGCGGAACTCTGCTTTCTGTTTGTCAAAAAATAAAATCAATCGAATTTGATGCGTAAATGGGGATATACGATAAACGGCTTGCTGTATGTGATGATTTTGACAGTGGTTTTTATGATGATAACTTCAAATCTCTGTAGACAAATTGCTGAAGTGGTTATGGAACTTTCATTCAGCTAATAAGTATGCCCTGTTGAATTAAGTGTTGTGGAGAGAAAAGCAGGTTTATTGGAGCTCATCGTTCGCCTGCAAGGTGCGTGTATGTCCGATAAATCCATTTCGATCTTGGATTATTACACATAACGTCAAACAACTCCCATTAGACCGATGTATGTAGTGTGTCAGAAGCAATCGTTTAAGGTTGCGGACGACCGGTCATATTTCACAATAAGGAGTATATGTAGATGTACTTCATGAGAACCCTTAAAACGAAGACTTGGAGAATGGTTCCGGCGATGCACCTCAGTGTTTGGTTCATGTCAAAAGCAAATACACCCGTGTTTCTGACTCGCATTCAACTTACTTCCTTGCTAGTCCATAATTTACACACCAGCGTTTCACGTTTCCAGCCATCACGGTAAGATTCTGGGCGAAGTTTAATTAGTTTGGACGTCCCCTTTATCAGTCGCCTGCCCTTATTCGCTTGTGCAGACCGCATTCGTAAATTTTGTAACCAGCTGGATATGGACAAAATGATCTATACCAGCCCAGAAAACTGAAAGGTAGTCCAGCATGCAATATAGGTTACTTCACTTATCAATGAAACTTGGTACACCCTGAGTGAATGAAATTTCAAATTCGTGATGTCTGTGGATTCCAATGTTCTTTCCGTACCATGGAGGCGACCACAACACGATAAGCTATCTTCAAAGTAGCTACCCGGACGCACTTCACAAGTGCGGCGAATGTAGACTACAGCATAAGGGAGGTCGTTAGACGGTTGGCTTGTCCGCTGACCTGGTCAACTTGCCCAACGGAAATGACATCACCAGTGCATTGTTAGGAAGCAGAGTGGAGCGTCCAGGTGGGTCGGTTGCGCTAACATTTAAATGAGCTTACACTCAACGTCTCACTCTTGTTCAGTAATTATTTCCTGCTATTCTAGAGTCGGCTACTACAGAAAAAAAGATTCGAGAAAGTAGCATGTGGGTATGGTTGAGGATGCAAGTTGCTGGGGCTGTAAAGAATACAACCGGAGAGTAAGTCAGATTACTGTAAATTAACCAACCTGAGGATGTGACCATTTCGGACTAGGGCCAACCGTTGACACGAGAGGTTACTCGCTCGCCAGCTGGGAGGAAGAGATTGATAACCCTACCAAGTTCTACAGCGATGGTGTTTGGATTCCAACTTCTCTTTATCAGTCTTTTATAGCCTCATTTAGGCTCATTAGATACCTTTGGGTAGCATAGTTACCCTCAGGACTTCCGGATAGAATGACCCTGACGGAGTAAACCGCAATCTCGACTTGATATCTTTGTGCACCCCGTTACTGTTCGATCGGTCTTTTGACTTGCTATGAAGCAGCCAGCACAACTAATCTTGCTGAAAGGCTGACAGATTGCCTGCCGCAATTTAGAGTCGTGGTGGCGAGCTGATTGCACACGAGCAGTAAAATGTCGCCCCTGATCGGGAGCCCAGGTACCTCTTCTACACCGGAGTCCATGGTGAGATAATGCGAGAATGCGCTGTGAAAACGCAACACATATGTAGCGTGGGAACAGATGTACACAGCAATTCTCAACTAAATGGAAACGTCAACAGTCGTGAGCAGGTAACCCATCTTTTAGCGCTAGGGTGTTCACAAATCATTTTTAAAGGTTAAACTAGTATCTGAAAAACTGCCTGTTCTTCCTAAGATCTCGACTAGTAATTGTGCTTCCACGTAATGTGTTTGTTAGCAGACAAGTTCCACGCATCAGATAGGACACAGTATGCTGAGTTCCGAAGGCGGGTTCTAGACTCACCCACCAATGACTTTCTGTTCATACTCCAACACGGAACCCGCTAGTGCAAAACGGGAACATTTCCACCACTCTGATCTTCCACTTCGGCCCAACGGCTGTTTCACTCACTGATTTGCGCAGTATGCAAAACAGACAGGTCTGATGTTCAGCGCATAATTAAACACTAACTGCTAAAATTGGGAACTGCTATGTAATCTTAAGGGTTCCAGCAGCTGATTGACAGCGCATGGATTCGATTCCGTGAGGTTGATAAAAATGTCTACTTCTGGTACATTGTTGCATTCATGAGTCAGCAGAAATCATCACCATACTAGATACTGTCCTGCCTGTAGATTATGTGATTGTGTGTGGTTAGCTGGATGTACGACCAGCCCAATCGTGAGGAAGTTGCCCCTTTGGTGCGCGTTTTACCTGTTCCAAAAAGGGAATGCCATTGCATCTGTCTGTTGTGGGATAACGACAACTGACTACGACCAATCAGCTCAAGTGATTATTTGTAGGTGTTTATGGGATTTGCAGAGTTCAGACTCACATGAAACTCGTTTGATTAGTCGTCCTCTTGTTCTGAAGTAATCATTCTGGTGAGTCCACAACAAAGAAGCAATCGTCGAACTCGAGATTAACTCTCAGTATCGCCCATAAGTAGTACATATCCTTGGCCATGCCGGACTTTGAACCGCATTTTACAACTTCACCAGCGCACACTGGATGCATCTGAATTTTCACGTCTAACCTGGTGAACGTCTTCACGCTTGATTATCGTTCTTGCAGAGTTGAGCTTATTGTCTCGCCATGGGTTATGACTGCTTGGTTCTGTTTCCAAATAATAAGTCATAAATTAAGTGGTGAACCGCATTTACAACTTCACCAGCGCACACTGGATGCATCTGAATTTTCACGTCTAACCTGGTGAACGTCTTCACGCTTGATTATCGTTCTTGCAGAGTTGAGCTTATTGTCTCGCCATGGGTTATGACTGCTTGGTTCTGTTTCCAAATAATAAGTCATAAATTAAGTGGAGGCGGCCTGATTCAAATTTAGTTCCCTTGCCTCTGGGCCCCAAGTTCGGGCTAACCGAGATCGACTGTATGTCACATTCAAAACACCATACGTACCCCTCATGTGTGATGATCCACACAATGGCTCTCGCCTAACCGTTTCCGTACCCTCTTGTTTGTTTTCTTCAGGAGGCCCGGGGACATCAGTCCAAAATTATGTTTCAGACGAAGTTTTGGATTTGACGTGTCTGTCCTGACCTGTTCTCAGTGATTTTCAGAACATTCTGGATAAAGACTTCTTCGATGCTGCAAATCAGGTTGCAGGTCAACGAACTAGGGCAATTGTTGAGAAGTATGTGGGGCTGCTTACGATGCCTTGCTGAGTAAAGTTAACGCTTCGTGATCTCAACTTGCATTTTATATGTTGAAGATCACGACGCTAATAAGGCATGTTGAAAGAAGGGTACTGCATTGCGAAACTTCGTCAGATTCTGACATGGCTGTCGGCTGTCAGAAAGGTTTCAACATGTGAAGTGAAGAAGCAAGCTGTCATACTATGAAATTAGATTTGCTACTGATCGGAATGAATCAGTTGAAAGAACTAAGAACTTGTGCCATAACCTATGATTCGATGGCGGTACACCATATTGGCCATGGTGGGTGATATTCAGGTGCATCCATTTTCTCAGTTCACTGACTAGTAGGATGTGTGGATTCTCTGTAGTAATTCTGCTTGTTGCAACAAGTAGCCTGATCTTAACCATTTGTGCGCGCTGGTGATATAAGCAGGAGACACCGTACTTTGACGTCACCAACTGACTGTCTTAGAGAAAAACACGCAAGGTAAAATTGATGTGGTTTCCGTGACAATTATTTTTGCAGTACGTACGATTAACAGGGCTTCCGTAAATCATTGGATCGATGGCCCGGGCCAGCAGGTTAGCGATAGAATCGAGTCGTTGTCACCATTGCTATTTGTAAGGGTAACCTCAAAGTTCAACTCTGGCTACTTGCGCAGCGGCAGTAGAACCCCACCGATCCCTCTACTCGTTCGAGGTCAGTGCATCGCACACAGAACGACGGGATATTCAGCCTTGACTCGATAGGCCAACGACGAGTGAGTCCACGAAGCGGGAGTTCTCAACTAGCATTACTTTCGTTTTTCGCTCAGTGTTTGGGGTTATGGTCATTTCTCGTGTCCGTCTAGCCGTGGGCGTAACACGTCATGTGGCCATGTGACCTAGTTACCCCTGGTGAGGTCTACCTGGTACAGCGACCCTCACAAGGTAAGCGGTTCACTAGCGCCAGACGTCGCATTGACGAAGCTATCATTGTCAGTGAGTGGAAAAATGGAGTAATTATAACAAACTAAGAGCGGTATTACTCATTCGACCGCTCAAATATGGCGAATATCATTGATTCGCCATCACAAGATAGTGTCAAAGAGGCTCTAATTATTCCAGAACAACCACACACGATAAACATTTGTCTAGAAAGCAAAGAGAAGATGTTGAGAGCCTCCGCATACAGTGAAACTCAAAGATGGTGATTAAATTCTGCATTCATTTCCAGGAGGAAACACTATCGTTTTGTAGCTTGACGTTCCCCCAAGATGCTTCTCCGAAGGCGGATTGCCAAACGAACCACAATGTAAAAACGCTATTTTAGTAGGCCAAGAAGAATAGAATTTTAAGAAAGCGTGGCATTCGGGTGGGAGTATTTTCAACAGGAAATACTTCTGGTGGATGTATAACCAGCAGACATTTCTGTGACTGATGGGGGCCTACTGTAATAGCTGTCCGAATCACACCTTATCTTCCCAAGAATGCTTCACCTTAGGGAACAAAATACTGTATGGTTCCAGAATTGGTGAGAAGGCAATATCTTTTACCGTTCGCCTGGATATCCAACTCTCTAGCGCTTCCAACATCATCGGGGTACGCCTCTGAGTTTTGTACGTGTCTTGGCTTAGTCTAGCAATAAGTGAGGGAAAAAGCATTTCCGAAGATGTGACATAGCTACAATACGCATTAGCGTTGCAGAAGACAGGCAACAAGATAAAACGACGCAAGACAATTTACATTTTTGGGCGCTTATTATTTTGTATCTAGTCGTGATGCAATACGCGTACGCATCACGCAGTAATCTTTGTCTGCTCCGAGCTGGCCACTATGAAATGTATTTTTTCGACCCAGAGAACATGCCCGGAAGATTAGTATGAAGGTAAAACTTGCTGATGCACCAATGCGTCCCATTTTTTTACATTCAAGGTTGTGCAACGCTTGGGCACACATACTGCCATCTGCTGTTAATCAGAGATGCTGGACGCTTTACCAGCGGGCTGCGAAGACGTAGAAAGATGCTGCACAAGTCTTTTCTCTCTCTCAAAATGCGAGAGAGTACTGTGTTTGTGATTGCCTGACATTGTGTGGTCAACCTTTTTGAAACTGAAAAGAGTGCGATTTGCATATGGACCACCCGCTAAGTATAATGCGTCTACTTTGAAATTTCACATTGGATTTGCGCTAAACATATATTGTGCTAAAAACTACGCTGTTCTTTGTTAGACTGCGCTTCCGTAGAAACATTTCTAGTTCTTTTCGTTAGTGACGCTTAGTGATAAATTTGAGGGCAGCGAGTTTGCGGTTAGAGATTTACTGTTCGGCTCCATTAGGTGATCAAGATGTGTTTTGTGCCAAAATATTCGAAGTGTGGTCGGAGCAATCAGTTTAGTACAAGTGTGATTTAGTGGCTGACTAGTACTTGTGTGCAGCGCCATTTTTAAACTTCCCACTAACCGTGCAGTACATGGCACTTACGATTAGACCCGTATAGATTGAATTATTGTTCAGATGTAACACCCTTCCGATGGTTAGCTGACATGCCCCCCCCCAAGAAAGCACGTGGGCTTGGATACCGCCAGGTTGCCCATGCCCAGATAGGGAAGTCGAAAGGCAGATCTCAAACCACGGACCTGCCAGTCGGCAAATTCGCGCTCAAACCACTTAAGCCATCTCATCCGTATAGATTACGCAGTGAAACGCTTGAAATGCTTCAGAGGTGAAATAGCAATAATTGTTGTGGCGTTGCATCAAAATTCTGTGAAGATCATTGTGGTGGAACACCAGAAAGATCCCCACGAATGCTTTTGGGATCCTTGGGTTTCCATTGATGGATTAAATTCAACATTTTAAACCGACTGCGGAATTGACCAAACTCACTCATTTGCGGATCAAGTCGGTGAGAAAGTGAGAAGTTATCAAATCCCGGCTTTTTTTTACGTTTATGGCATTCTTCCATTGAATATGCCACACAAAACCCGGCTCATGTTTCAGTTCATACTGTATAGGAGATGTCACAATATATTTTCCTCACGGTTGCTGGAAACCCCTCGACAATCCACGACTGATTTTCTACTTGTTTTCCATCAGCCAGCTAAAACCTGACGAAAACTTGAGGATTAAGCCAAACCCGTACTATCGCTTCGAACTATACTAATCAACGGTCTGTTGCAAGTGAGTCCAGGTAAAGTGGAACACGGGATTCACCGACAGGATTGTGGTTGTCGCAAACTGTTTGTGCCAGTATGAATGTGGTCCTTGTGACAAGCCAAGCTTTCAACAACTACACTACCGGAAACGGCTGGATCTCTTGTTTATGATGGCGTGGCAACAGGCCGCCTTATGTTTCACGTGGTACGATATTCGAGGTATTGCAATATGTTTTACAGACGTAATACACTACTCATAAGGCTGCTGAAAACTATTCAAGAAACCCACGACCGGTTTCGCTTTTCCACTCCGGGCTTATCAGTTAAGAGCGATCTCCGTCAAACTTACTTTCCATTTGAACCTGAATTGCACAAACCTTGGCAAATACACGCATTTGCATATCAATCTGGGATCAATTGGAACACAACTTCAACGAAAAATCGAGGATTGCGTCTACATGATAAGCCCTAAGCCGAACGTAAGCAGTAGTAGTCTGTCGAAAATTTTTCAGCAACCTCATGAGTAGTATATTCAACCAATCTTCTCTTCTTACGCCCAACGGTTTGTTTGACCAAATTAAATTTACGCTGAGCGTTCATTCTTGCCACTGACTTCCATACCTGACCTTGTATGACGGACAATTTGTGCACGATGTGCGAGTTTAGAATGTGCTAGCGCCTACTGTGTATTGAAGAGCATTTAGCATTGTTTGTTCTTTCTCTGGTCGCTCGTCTTTACACACGTGTTTCCATAGTAAACATACGTTTGGATTCATCTTACATAAGGCACAGCCCGGTCCCTTTATTCCACAGTGATGGATGCACTATTTGAGTGAAGTGACATCTGCTTAACTAAGCATCCGTTTCCTGACCAACTCACTCTGAGTTTTCTGGTTCCACCTGATTCTACCTATAGTTGTAGGACATCGGTGGTCAAAGCCCCAAAGGGGCCGAGTGTACAGGCTTACAACCAAACAGCCCGCACCTTAGTCTGATAATTGCGTCCTTCGTGGTGAGATATGGCTTTTAGATATCATAAACAGCGCAAATTAGCTAACACAATTTTGGTCTTTGAGATTCGTGCGTTGACTTTGTTTGACACATTACCGACAGAGCTAGTGCAACTTCCAAGATGCGTATGGGGTTCCACTACTCCCGGTGTTACCCAGTGAATCCATAGAAACATTTTCAAAGACTGTATACCCGCCGCATGACATTCTACTTTGTCAGCGTGAAGCACTTTCCAAAGGACTGGATGACTTTCAACGGCTTTTCCATTATTGGTTGAGCTTCTTGATCTTCTTCAAAATTAGTCTGCACAATCCAAGTCCACAAGGCTCTCGCTCAAAAAGATTCGATCACGGGGGTTTTGGATACTCTCCACTGCTTGCTTCATTAATTCATCATCGATGACGGTAAACGAAAATGGAAGAAGCGGACTTGCCGTTGAACAACACTACTTGAAGGAAAGTCATTGGAGAGCCCACATACGTTCTCAGGTGCTCTTAACTTCCGGGGTGCACCTCGTTACGCAACATGTTGAAAAGAATAAACCGGTCGACAGAGTCAAACGCACTCTCTAAGTGAAGCAAAACCAGGACTGTCGGACACACGTATGCACGTGAAGGACGTCTCCAAAATAGCCCCTCACTGGGTGGACCCTTGTTCCTCGGTTCCGACTTCACTCGCCTTCCCAAGACCGCATAAAACAAACAACGCAGTAAGCATGGTTAGAACGAAGGTCAAAGTAATTCCGCCGTGATTACGACACTAACTGCGAGGACACTTCTTGAAAATGGGCATCAATATTGAGTAACTTCACTTAGTTCAGACCTAGTCTTCCGGCCAGATTGAGCCAAGTAAGTTAGATAACAACCGACTGCGGATTTCATCTCCATGCTTGAAAAAGGTAGGCGGAATTTCGATAAATACGTAAACCAGAGATTCAGTTGGGTTCCATGTGATCCTTCCGTCAAAACCTAATTGATATGCAAATGAGTGCATTTGACAAAATCCGTTCAGTTTGGGCACAAGTAGAACATAAGGTTGACGGGAAATTGGGGACTTCGTCTACTTGATGAGCCCCAAGAGGGACAAAAGCGGTTATGGACTGTCAGAATTTTTTCAGCAACAATGCGAGTAATGCATTAGTTTTTTAAGGAGCAGTTGGGAGTTCGAAGGCACCAGTAACTCTGTGAAACTTTGGAGGGGAGATTCATTCGCCCAATTCCAAATCCATCACCGTTTCCACGTTTACTGTTCGGGACTGCGCTGTGACCCGGCTGAACAGCTGCGGTAGCCAGTTGAATTGTTGAAACTACTAAAAAAACAGACATTCTTCCTTTTGGTGATGAATAAGCCATTTTGCAACGATTTTTTCACTGTGCTATCAACAAGAATTTTGAAACGTGTCATTCTCATATGAAGAAAAATTGCAAATTAGGAACCTTACTCACTACAGAGGAGAATTTTGAAAATTTTGAATGACTAAAGGACGGACATCTAGCCATTTCAGAATCTTTTCGCATCTTGATTTTAATTCCACCTTGAAGGGAGAAGAGATGTTGCAAAACTAAGAGCGAGTTCGGCACGACATGAATCTTAAAATGCTTACTTTTGTAACTACCAAGTTATACCCACAAGAATTTCATTGGTTAACTGCATAATAATCTCCCCACAGTTAGTAGGTTTAACAGTGAATTTTCAACATGATTTTAGCATTGTAAGAATTACCATAGCAATCCCCAGTCCATTCATATGCTGGGAGCAAAATATAGTATTCAGCATTTTTCAGCGAACTAAAAGCTCTACATTTATATTGTCTTGATCAAGAATGCTTGGCTAGTACCTGAAAACGCGCACCCCAGGCCTGTTAACCCCGTTTAATGACGAGGAAGTTCTCAATGAGTAGTGCCTGGGGGTGGATGCCGGAAATATTTTGGCGTCTTCATGTGGATTTGTGAATTACAAAGTGTTTTAATATGCTCTGTAAGCTTACTTATTATTTAGAAAAAAATTGGAGTGTAACTAATAAAACGGAAAGTTCAGTCAGCCGAAAATTTATTCGAGTCTGTCATTATTGGTCCCGTTCATAGATAAGGGTGTTGAATACTTTTGTTGTAATATCTCCATGCAGTATTGCGTATAAGACCTGCTTCTCTTGACTGATAAACTGGCAACTACATCGTAATTTGTATTAGGACTGCAAACAGGATCCAATGCAAACTCTGACAGTGCTGAAAGTCGAGAATTCGATGTTACAGTGGTGCCAAAGACTCATTCGCTACCTACTATGTGAGCTGTATCGGCTAGATGCAAAGCGGTGGTGCTTGGGCTGGATCTGCAGTTTCCAAGCGAATAGGAACAGGATTAACGTAGACTGTCTGACAAACACATTATTTTACGACCACTACACGATACTCGACATGAGCATGCGAAAGAGGCTGGCGGATTTTCTTCCAGTTATGATCTAATGATGTGGGAAGAACCGAATTTCGAACAGAGTTTAGACGCCATAAACGTACACTCTACTAAATCCTTAGTCAAATGGGCATAATTTCATTTTTTTTCTTGCCCTTTTACGGCAGATGACGTAGACGGGCTTCTTGTTTACCGAGTGTTTTGTCTGTGTTTCTTCCCCAGAAATCAATGTTCTTAGTCTGAAACGGGTCGGATAGCCATTCTGCGTAGAATACGTTTCTCAGAAACTATAGCCTTTGCTACAAACAGTCATTAGGACAAACCTGAGCACACAACCAATTCTTTTTTCAAGAAAGTAAAAACGGCTCCGTGATGCAAAGTTGGGAAAAAATGGGATTTTGGTTTAGCCTATTTTCCGTATCATATACAAGCTCTCTGTTACGAGTTTCTCCGGAAATGGCAAGACCTTATTTATTCAGGTTTCTACTCTAGGGTCATTTTACATAAAATTACGGATCCAAGGGCTACTCCGCAAAACGGACAATTTATTTGGGACTTTTGGGCTAAAACTTTTCTTTAAAACAACTGAGGTTGTCACTATTCAACGGCATGCAAAACTACATGCTTTTCGAAAATGAAGGCGCAGCCTGACCTCACAACGCAAGTTGCTTGCAAAATGCAGCAAAAAAGGAAAGTAAGAATTTGACGTAGAAAAACAAACGAAGTATGAATCCCTCATTATTTGGGTCTTCTGTCCTTCGAAGGACACGCGTTTAAACAAAATTCAGCCGCCGTATCTGGTTGGTCTCGGTTTGTTAGCACAGATTATCCGGTGCTTCATCGTTTAACACCTAAACAGGAATTGCAGAGCAGTCATATTGAAGCCGGTATCGATGTCTACTTCATGAGCGACCCACACAACGGCTTGGTGACCTTTGGAAGTCCGTTCTTCACTTCACTTCAGTTCTGGTTGATCTTGGATAGTAAGCTTGCAAATATTCACACACCAGTTGAGTGAAGCCACTGAAAAAAAAACGACAAAATTGATTTGGATCACTCAAATGCATTGCAAGAGCGGAGTTTAGATTTCCAAAGCTGGAGAACATGGACTCTTCCAAAGATTGACAGCCACTTAAGTCACACATTCATACCTGCTGTGCAGTGGTGGTTCAAACCCTAGTTCGTAAGTATTCACACAATTTTCAGAACCGACAACCTGGTCAGATTTTGAAACATGAAGGATTATATGTAAGTCTGTGTGGAAAAAGACCCAGTTGGTGCAAATTAACAAAACATTTACCATCCCCGTGGCCAAACTCAGTAAGTTTTCGCGCGGATGTGGTTGGAGATACTGCAGGCGTTTTGATACATGAATTTGAATATATAATAGGAGACTGTAAGGTTTTAAAAGTAGAAAATAGTTCAATACTTCTGATACTGGCCTGCTGTTGTTTTTTTACAAAGAGAAGGCTTTCAATAGGGGACATTGTTCAGCAATTATTGGCTTAACTCAGCTTTCCAGTTAGTCTTTTAATCAGCCCTAAGCAACAAACTCCCGATTCCTGCATAAGTAAACGCTGATGGAAATGACTGCCTCAACCTCTTGAGGAGTAATTGTTCGCCTATAGAAAAACGGTTACTCACGGCAAATGTCCCATTCATTCAACTTCCAACTCTTCCGACTGCGTACACCTAACCAACCACCACTACTCTTATGATCCGTTTGGAACCATTCAAGCACGAGTCGGTGGGTTTTTCTCGTCTTACCTGAATCACCGATAAGGAACGGAAGACAGTACGCAGCGTTCATGTTCATGAAAACAGTAGTTGTTCACCTTAACTAATGGGAGAGATCGCAAACATATCCACCGTCTTCATGTTAAAACGATACTTGGAGCGAAACATATCGGGAAATTTAGAGTGAACTGAGCCGACAATGTGGCAAACGATCAATGTGCTATTCCGAGGAATTTATGCTTAATAGTATCTGAAGGCAGAACCTTCACGTCCGTCTCAGCTATGCAATCAGAAAACATTTGGTGATCCGGATAAGATGTGCAAGCGCGTCAAGGAACGAAAACTACGAAGACGATTCCGTAACCGTCAGACTGAAGGACTGTGTTAAAAAACTTCGAACCCCACCAGGCAATTTTCGCTTGTTTACCAAGATGTACAAATGACAGGTCTCACTCATTCCTAGACCAAAGACACGTTATCCTGCCGTTTCCGACTGGGATGGGAGATCTGACCACAAGTATGTTTAAGATAGGGGTATAAAATTCCCATGTTCACTTCAGATTTCGTTCTCGGTGAGAATGAGCTATGTTGATCCCAAGTATTTGAATCTATTTAAGGATTGCTGAAGTGAATTTCAGCACTATTCCGCTAACTACCCTGTTAAATCAAGCATAGTTGTAGTGTTCTCGGCCACTTGTCATTCACAGACCAGAACGCTCATAAATGCTGTTGAAGTAATCAACTAAGCGTCGTCTTGCAATACAACCTAACTTGGACGAGTTGTCCAAACACATACCCTAGACTGGGCTTGGTTTTACAGCTCCCTGAGATATACCTCAGTCCTGGGGAATCTACTTCTGAATTTGGGTTTCTATGAATCATTATTCTGTGATACCAGCGATCTGCTATCCTCGTCTCATATTAGACGTTCCGTCCCTTTAATTGTCATCAGTGTAAAAGCGGATGATGGATATCCTGAGTTGTTTCATCATTTGCAACGGGTTTGACGTCTGCACTGTCCAAATCACGATGATCGTTCAGAGCTGTTACACCGTTTCGGTGCCTAACTGTCATGATACCCGAAGACAGCACAAGGGCTGGGAACCTGGCAGTCTGATCATGCTTAGACTGGAGAAGTCGAAATGCAGAGATGGGGTTCGAACCACGGACCTTCTGGTCAGCAAATTCGCGCTCTAACCATTCAGCCATCTCGCCTCAGTCATGAAACGCTGTATGTATTGTAAAGTAGTAATTAATTTGTTAAATTGAGATTTCATCCTGGAATTGGAGCCAGTCTGTCTTGAAAAGCCCTTAAACAGGACGTAGCACCACTCAGTTGAAAATTCGAAAACCCCCTCACATTAACAGCACTCTGTAAGTAGCTTAGGGGGAATGCTCCATAAGATGTCGTCACTCAATGAGTCAAGTGATGTGGATCCCTTGATCGGACAATGAGTGGCGCTACGGCATTTGAGATACTTATGGATTGATGGAAACGTGAGGGGATTCGGGAGATTTCAATTGGGATTTTATCACGCAGCTGGACCCAGCTGTACAAAGAATCTCGTATTTTCAGCATCGATTAGACTTACTAATGGAACGAAACATCAATGAGAAATTCCCAGACGCCCTCGCACTACGAATGACTTGCGAAATACCTGCATCAATACGGGCAACAGTGGCGTGGTCGTTATCTTTCAATCCTTGGACAAAACTGCCGATAACTACGTGAAAGCAGAGATTAGATGCCGGACAACAATGAGCAAAACCTTGCGTTAACTATTGAGCTACAAATGTAAGGTTACCACCCTATTTCTTTGGAAATTTCAAACATTTGGATCCCCCATTTTCATAGCATCAGAGCAGCTTGAAACAGAAGTTACAAGGCATTGAAATCCCAAGTTTCTTCTGCTCAGATGAAAGCCTTGGGCAAGAGACCTGAGAAAGTTGGGACGTATTAATCCGATCAATACGCACTTCCAGAATATTTTGGAATGAAGAATTTTGTGCACGCACTCTTGTTTTATGCGTTCACATGAACATCATATTTCAGGAGGCTAGCTGTTTCCTGGTCATTGGTCGCATCCTGAAAGTTAATCAGAATATGTCAGTAAGCAAGAGCTGGACAAGTATCTAGTAGGGGAACCACATATCAAGTGAGGCAAGTGGCAAATGCGTTTCTGCAGAGATGTTCTCAGTGACTGCCATAGAAATCGGGCAGCCAGGTTCAAATAACAACAACTGATAGGAAATTCGAAATAGAACTTTCAGGCAAGTCGCTGAGTCGCAAACTGAATTCTGTTAACCATGTTTCCAAATTACATACAACCCAAAAGAAAGGAAGAATTTCATCTTTTGTTGAGAACTGTTCCACGGGATCGGTGAATGTTAGTGATTCAACAAAATAATTCCGTTATTAATTCACTCAGTTCATTTCGCTCACTTTGTTTTATGCATATTTTATCAAAGACTTTACCGTTCGGTCATTGAGGGGTTTTATTGATTAGGAGATATCAGTCTACAGACGGAGTCGGAACAAGATAACCTGCAAGTACGTTTATTGCCATTTGACTATAAAGCTCATAATTACGTTGGGGGCGAAGTAAACTAACTACAAAATAAGTCTTCTACATCCATAAACAATTAATCATTCAAAATCCTCAGAGAGATTCGGTCAAATAGGCATCCATTTCAGTGGTCATTTCAGTGATCAGAATCAACCGGGATGACTGATCGATACAGCTGTAGATTGCTCAAATCTACGCAGCCCATTACATCTCGCAATGTTCCGGGACGATGAAGCAAGTTAAACTGAGTGATTCCTCGCTGAGAAATATCGAGCGAACTATGGTGAAATCCACAGATCGATCCAAGACCACATATTGCAGCCGAGATAGGTTTCGGGAAATCACCGCTCGTTAGAATTGGTAACCGTTTTTTGCCGTTTCGCCAATACACGATCCGCTACAACTAGAGATGAGTTGAATGTGGATTGAAATTTCGCAACTTTGGAGCAACTGGGGGCCCCGATGGAGCTTAATAACCTGAGAGAAACGTGGGACATATTCTTGAGGATACTTGACAAAGAACGGTGCGGCCATAAATTTATCTAGGTTAAATTCACCTTGTATGTCTATCTAATAAATCTTGTGTTTAACGCAATATTCTTAGCTTTGTTGAATTCAATTCACAGTGCTATATTAGTATTTGGAAGTAACTGGAAAGTAGAGCTCCCCGTGTAATCTCAAGCAGTCTGAAAATCAGCCACTTGGAGCTAGAAACTTGACAAGGTGCAAATCGCAACTTGGAACTGTACGGGTTTCACTGCTCTGTATTCGTCCTATACTTTTAAAAAGTAAAGCGTTCAATTGCAAATAAGTAAGCATTTTGCAGACCAATGGATTGCGCTTTGGGGGCTGAATGAAAGTCAGTCAGAAGAACGAGCAGTGACAGCAAGGAACCGAAATATTTGAAGGTATTCAGGGGTTGAACCTCGCACGAACTTTCTACAAACATCAACCACAAAGAGGTCTGAGTATTCTGCACAAATCCAGGTAGTATGACATGTCAAAGCGGGAACTGTATGACTGACAGCTAGTTGTGATTATTGAGCGGTGTTACAAACTTGTGCAAGGCACTTTACAGGGTCGCCGAAAAGTAAGGTTCACGCTCAATACGAAATCCCACAACATTCATCACACACTCAGTTGAATAAGGCCTCGAAGTTCTGTCCCTGGTGTAATAAGCCTAAGGACAACCAAAGGGCCTAAGTACTATCTTTGACAGCGATCAACTTATGCCTGTTAGTCTTCAGTGCTATGCTGCGGTTGTATGTTATCGATGGCGTCACTGGAGTTAGTCATGGGAATTTGAACGCATCAGCCGACTGCACGTTAGCTAAGTTTCAGCGACGGAAGGATAGTTTGTACGAATATGCATACATCGGCTCGCAATGTGACCCAAACTCATATGCATCTGCTTTCTCAAGCAATGGCCCTTCACAAATTTAGTTATCTACTGGCAGCTTTGGGGATCTTACATGCAAATGCGTCATGGGATTTTTCAGGACAGGAATGTAAAATAATATACAGATAGTCGTTTTGGATAGCGTTCTATTTTAAAGAAAGTGGTACGCCAATTATTAAAAAAACTGACCAAGTAGTGGGTTGCAGAATACTCATTCACCCGGATCTACTTCTTTTCAGCGACAATCAATGTTGGAGGCGGTGCTGAGTGTCGTAGGCTGTAGTACCAGGTCAAACCTTAAGGGTGATAAGAAGTCTGTAGGACGTTATATGTTACCAGTCCTAGAAGCCAGCATTCTGCCACTTGCTCACCGCTTTCCCGTATAAAGTTTTAAGCTTGAATTAGGAAGAGTTCGCAAAGGAAGCTGAGGCCGTCTTGGTTAAGGTGTTTTACCGCGACACAATGTTCGTATGTGTTGATTTCACTGCTGTTCAAAGGTACACATTTTTTCTTCAGCGTCTTCTGTAAATGCATGACAATTTCTCACACTAAGTCCTCGCACTTCCGATTGATTCCAACGCTTCATTATGACGGGCACTCTCTCTTGTTTTACAGTAATTCGTCATCACTATTTCCCGCTGGTGTGCTGATTTCAACAATCATGGTAGTAAAGCGACAGAAGAGAGTATGTGCAGACTGCCACCACTCTGAGGGGCATTCCGACCAAAGCAGACGGTTTGGTGACGTTTTTCCAATGTTTCTTAGGCTAATTAAACCAGACATTCGTTCAGAAAAGAACCCCTGAGAGACTATGTGTGCACCATGATTTCCTTGACTCGGTTGGGCAGGGTGAACTGTTCCGCTGAGATCCGCGTTCTGGGTCTCCAATATAAATCTATATATTGTTTATTGATGTCGATTTTATCGCGCCATGCTCGCTGCGGTTGCAGGGAGCATCCGGAACGGGAAAAACCAAGCCATGCTGCTCGCATAGATAAAGAGCACCAAATGCTTTCAATCGAATCATTATTGTAAGCCACCAACACTGCACATCCAAATATTCGCAATGGTTCCTTATTGTCATCTGGACTTTTAAAAGAACCGCCATTACGGCTAACTTGTCTGAGTATAAACTGAAACTAGAATGTTCCAAGTTCACCTTGAAAGGTTCAGAAACGATTTACCCACTGAATGTGAGAACGTCTCCCGACGAATAAATCTGAGCTACAGATGTGAAAGGGTTGTTCCAAGTGACCAGTAGACAGCACTTCAAGTGAGATGAATTTTTATCTATGATGAAACAAGCACACAGAAATAATAGTAAGGCTAGAGGACCACTAGTATGTGTTTTCCTTGGAGATGTGGATTCTGGAATTCTACTCAACGAAAACCTTGCTTTCAGAGTAAAGGAGATGAATCTCATCCTTTGTTGAATTTAGGCATTTTCGATATATTTAGGTTATACTGAATTGATTTTAGTAGAACAACCTGCTCTCGGAAGTATAAATTTGTTTTCAGCTGGGACAATCGCCGGGACGCCCGGCGCGTAAATGTAGTCCATGGTAAACTGAAAAGTGAATGTGACCCTCACTGATATCGCGAACAGCCGCAAGAAACACACTGACTAACAGCATTCCATCACAATAAACAAGTGATGACTGCAAATGCCCACTCATTTTGGAAAATAAACCACATATTACAAACAAAATATTTGAGAATTTGGATAAATTGTCGACATTCTCTTCATTCTGCAGTGGTAGTAGGTTTGAAAGTTAGGTAAAACACAATCATCTGTACTTTCTTCCTTGAACTGCATAAGCGTTTCACAGCCAGATAATCATTGTTGTAACTCACCACCAATATGCATTTCAAGGTTTTTCAGGGAGATTCAAATCCGCTGATCCTGAAATTAGAGCTTGAGCACTATCCCTTGGCTTAAAAACAATGTGATTACCTTGTGGGTAGGATACACCGCTTGGTTGTTGGTCTGTTCAACGAGCTTGGTAGTTGGATCGCCAACGTCTCATCACCAGTTGCGTTGACATTATCAGTGCAAGGCTGAGTGAATAAATTTTTCCGCTCCCGCCCGTGCTTACATATAAGCTCTTTGATTGGTGATGAAACGTTTAAAATCCAACTTCCAACAACCAATCAGTTCACTCGAGCTACTGATATTGAGCTACATCATCAACGTGATAAACCGATCCTGAACTCGATTTGGTGCACGGTTGACTGATTCCGTAAAGTGTCCCTTCTATAGTTGGTGTAAAATAAGCCTACACATTTCACTTTTGTCTTGAATGCAGAACCCTCAGTACTGGTTGATTGCATCCTCAGAGTTTCGCGCAAGAGGCATCCCAAAGGCTGACCAATTGAATAAGCGTACATCTGATTTGTCCACAGAGGTAGATTGTTTAAAGATATCTCGGAGAGAAAATCTGACTGATCTTCCATTTCTAATGATGGTCGTGTGGCACATATTTTTACCCTGGTTATCTTCTAATTCGATGTATAACAAATATGAGTCAGGGGCATTCTACTGAACCCTTGGCAATCCTATAGGAATATCGCAGCTGAAACTCAGTTGCGTGATTTATCTTCGTAGTTCAGTCGCAAAGCAGATGTATGCTGACCTCTGTGCTAGGAATATCACCATTCACTTCTAAAAGTCGAAAGATTGCGATGGGATATGAAAATATGTGCCTAGACTAAAACGGCAAGTGTGTATGTTGTTCCTCTGATCCTGTGGTCCCAAACTGACTGTAT